TATGGTGCATAAAATCTAAAGTCATCAAATGTTTGTATTTTATAAAATGGATAAACTTCTTTACTAAGAAGTAAATACAAATTTTAATCCGTGAATATGACAGAATAGACCTTTTCTGAGCATATTCACGGATTAAATTTTGTATTTACTTCTTAGTAAAGAAGTAAATCCATTTATAAAATACAAACATTTGATGACTTTAGATTTATGCACCATAAGCAAGCAAAACCCAGTTATATGGTTGAACTTTATGTTGATTGATATAATAGCAAGTCATAACTTTTTTAGTTTATTTTGTTTGATTAGAAATTCAAGACTTTTCAGTTATTCACTTTTGTTGATGTTTCGAGCCTCATAAATGCACTCTGACTTAATTCCAAGCTATATGTTCTAATATTTGAACCTATTCTCTAAATACCTGCCCAAGACTGGTGCATTTATCTGTAATTGACAACTTTAGAGAATATAACACTAGAGCTTGTACCAGTGGAATTGCTAAATGCAAAAATTATATCATATTAACAAATATAAGATAACAAATGTTGTATGAAAAATCAAATTAAATCGACTTACGATTGTTGAAGTAGGTTAGGAAACAGTGTAGAAAATTCGATTTTCATTTTATGTTCTCAGATGAACTACCTTGATATATTTTTTGATTACTAAATAATGCATTATATCAAGTTTTACTGGAGCGTTCTCAATTAAGCGAGCATTTTTATACTTATCTATGTTCTCAAATTTAGTGTACTCTGAGAACACTAAGGGCATCGAATCTCATTGTTAGAAAATATTAGTTTTATGGTGCATAGCATCTAAAGGCATCAAAAGTTTGTGTTTTATAAAATGTATAAACTTCCTTACTAAGAAGTAATACAAAATTTAATCCGTGGATAGCATAGACCCTTTCTGAGCATGTTCACGGATTAAATTTCTATTTACTTCTTAGCAAAGAAGTTTATACATTTTATAAAATACAAACTTTTGATGCCTTTAGATGTTATGCACCATATGTAGTCGTTTATTTTCTTATTTAGTTTTACTTTATATTTAATCTAATTTTACTTGTTTATAGGATTGCATCCGAATTACTTTATGCAAGATATTGAATTCTATTAGTAACTTTGAGTGTTTAATTAATTCTTTGCTCGCGTTTTAGTTATATTAGTAAAAGAGAAACAAACCATATATTCTCTTTTATTTTAATCGCACATCAGATATTGATTATACCTCAGTTTTCTATTCATAAACCATAAAAAATTACTTTCTACTTTTAATATTGAACGCTAGCAAGTCATCATGTACTATATATCGACGTTGCTTTAGAAATTATTATCATTTCTATACATGTACGTCGTTTCAGAATTCCAAAATGACGTAACTTCTATACTACTACGTCGTCGTCGTTTCCGAATTCGAAATTGACGTGCGAATGACGTTAACTTTTATACATAATCGAACGGGGCATTTTTTGTTAGATGATGGGAAAGAAGTAAAATAGTTAGTTGAGCGAAATCCAAAAGGAAAAGAGAACTAGTTTTACATTTGTAGAACTTTATTACTTTATTTCGTGTTTAGATAGCGAAATACTAACATGTAAACTTTTTGGTATATGCGCAAATATAGTTTCTGTTGAGAGATTTCAGAGTTCTATAGGAATTTCCAAGCAAATTAGCATTGTGTATTAACTTTTTTAATTTATTGTAATATTATTCATATATCAAAATTAAGAGCTAATATTACATATAACAAATATCTCTCCAACAACTTCACAAACTATTGTATCAGAGGTCAAATTCGAATCAAATTCTACTCAAAATGAAAATTTTCAGCAAGGTTCCGGCGTAATGAATAATTTAGAAGACATATCAATAGAAAGAAACAATAGCGATAGAAGAGTAGTCTTCAAGGTTGAGCAGACATGTTGAAAGAAGAGATTGATTATTGAATTCAATGAGTATCGGATCCACTCTTTCAAGATATCCAAACTTTAATAGTTGCTGCTAACATCGTCGTTTTTTTAAATCACGAAATAGAAAGACGAAATCATTTCCATAGTTTAAGTCGAATTGTTAATATATGCATGATTTATTTTTTTGTTCACTTTTTTAATTAGCATATTCCGTGTTTTAAAACTACTAAATTTCTGTTAATTAGATACAATGAATTAAAAATCGACAAAAAACTTTTGATCTTGTGAATTTTGGGGAAATAAAAAATGTCTTTTTAATTGGTTTCTATGTATAAAGTTTTGAATTAATGAATGTAAAAAAATTGATTATCGTTATTATTCAATCTTATAATATTTAATCCCAATCTGCACTGCCAACGTTTCCGTTACCACTTTCATTTAAATAACCGTTTTTCTCTGCCATTGAAATCACCGTCTCGTTTCCAATATTCGCTACCATTCCTGTTGTCATTATAACATCCAAGTTGAAGTTGCCATTATTGAAGTCACTAACATTGTTATTATCCTTATTACCATTATTGTTTCCGTTAACATTGCCTATGTTTCCACCATTGAAGAATCCTTTCTAGCTAAGACTGCAAGTGCTAAGGATAACAGGGAAAGATAGGTAAGACCATTATCTTTAATCATTTTGATTGTATATTTTTTATAAATGCACTTTTAAAGATAACTATAATGGAAATAGAAAAAATTTTATTGTTGAATTGTTTCTTTTATCATATAAAAACGTTCGCGAGTTATCGCTTAATCAATTTATAAAAGAACACAGCGCAATTGTGAATTTGAACATTGTAAGCCACCAGCAATCTTCACTTCGATTTTCTTCCTCCAGTTTTTCCCTTTACTGCCTTCCCTCACAGACTTATTCACTTCGTCGACAAACTGTCTTCAGTACCATAAAGTAGTGTTAGGGATGTTAAGAGTCCGGTCTGATCCCGTCTGATAGAATAATCATTTGCACCTGAAATCCCACAAAATTTGGCCATATAATAGAATTATATATGGTGAACAAGTTTAATTATTACGTCAATAGAGGTTTTATTAGTAAAAAATGGACTTTTTCATAGTACAAAAATTAATCTATTTTATTTTCGTTTCAGGTCAATCCGAAACCGAACCGAAAATCGGTTTGGGTTGGTTTCGGGTTGACCCGAACCGTGTGGCGCACTAGTGCTCTCTTTCCGTGTCAATGCAAAATCAGATATAATTTAATTCTAAAAATTTGTTTTTAACTAAAAAAACTAAAATCGCAATAATTCGATAAGAAGAGTGACATATATTACGTAATTATCAGGGGGAGAGGGTCTCAAAAATCTCACCTGGGGGAGGGTATCTCTATTAACTCGATATTATGTAATATACGTCACTCCTCTAAATATTATTGTGATTAAAATGAAATTACTACCAAAGTGTATGTCTTATTGAATATAATAAGAACAAAAAGCTGATCACTGATTATCGATAAAATAAGTTTCGGAAATTTTATAACCTGTAATTGGGAAAATGACTTGCCGTGATGTGCAATTTCATCACATTTTTTTCAACTTTTATTATCTTACTAGAAATCTAGCACTGTTATTCATATATTTTGCTTCTATAGTATTAATGTAAAATTTATATAACAATCTCACCGCTGGTGACTGTATTTCCAATAATGACTGGACTGATTTCTTGGATTAATTTTTACAAGAGAGGTCGAATAATTTGATTTTATAAAGTAGAGAGTATCAACAAACACTTGAATTAAAAGCACACCTTATATAATAGAAGCATGCATCGCTAGTGATGGATAGCCAATGCATTATTAAAATATTTAGATTATTAAATTTATAGCCAGTGTATAATAAAATATTTTTTGGGGTGATACTAATTCTTAATATTGAACTTTTCTTTTCAAAAGATGATAAATATTCGAACGAGTTTCTTCAGCGCGATGATATTTTTCATGCTTCGAAGCCTTCTCATTACTTGATGCCGAATTCTTATCGTTTGAACACAATTCTGAATATTTATTATCATTATTGCTGACATTATAAATTCTCAGAAGGGCTTTTGCAGCTTCCAAGGTCTTTTCGCCATTTGTAATTGTGCTTTCATCAATTAAAGTATTAATTGAGGAAGAGATCATATATGTGATTTTTTAAAAATAATTATTGCTGCGTCAATGCTTTTTATTGTATTACCAAATCTTGAAAATTTATGAAATTTGGTCACGGAAATCTATAATCGTCAATCACGTGACAAAATATTCATGAACTTTAAATGCTTAAAACTTTTTATAGAAGTATTATATTAAAAATCTGATCGATAACATTGTAGAGCTTATCTCAAAGAACAAAGTTATGGACAGATTTTTAATATAATCCTTCCATAAAAGATTTAGGCATTTAAAGTTCATGAATATTTGTCACGTGACTGGCGATTATAGATTTCTGTCACCATAGTTTTTTTGCAAATTATTGAAATTTTACTTGTTAATAAAAATCGTTTTTATATTTTGATATGATTTTGAATTGCAAGCTTACTGACAGTAATTTTTGAAATAATATCGCTTTTGTGATCATTAGAACTAAACTTGTTACTGTTGTGATTTTTATTAAATACAAAATTCAATCCGAAAGGGCTTATTCTATCATATTCACTGATTAAATTTTGTATTACTTCTTAATAAAGAAGTTTATCCATTCTATAAAATACAAGCGTTTGATGACTTTAGATGTCATGCACAATACAACTTTTGATTGAGTGTGCAGTTTTTATAATAATCTGAGCAAAGTACTGTAATTATTAGATAAATATTTATTGTGCCAATTTGCCACTTATGTTATGAACAAATAATTAGGGATGTTAAACATGTGCAGGTCGATATACCGGACTCTTTAGAAATTTAACCTTAACTTAATCTCAAAGCCATTAATTTAGTAATTTAGATTTTTAAGAAATTTGCATGTGAGTATGGTGCAAACGATCTAAAGACATCCAATATATCCAATACTTTAAACTGTAAAGGATTTGCATCCAAACACTTAAATCACAAGAAAAATACGTTATATTATAGTTTTATCAAATGTTATTTAGCAACGTATTGTTTTGTGGTTAAAGTGTTTGGATGCAAATCCTTTACAGTTTAAAGTATCGGATATATTGGATGTTTTTAGACCGTTTGCACCATATTAATTTATTTATTATGCAAAAAATAATTGATTTTATTAAAAAAAATTAAGGTTTACATTTTCTAAGAATCCGTTATATCGACTTGCACGTGATAGGGACAGGAATCGATTCTCTAGAATCGATTAATCATGTAACAAAATTATCAAAAGAATAAACTAATGAGAAAATCTACTTGTAAAAAAATGGCAAAGTTTACAACTCGCTCTCGCGTACGACAACCTATTTTGTCATTTAGCAACAATATTAATAATACTCTAGCCTTTGATGATAACCAAGAAACTATTTCCAATACAGAGTTTCATGACTCTGATATAGAGATAGGAATTTAGAATCGATTAAAATTTGAGAATCGATTAATCGAATTTATTTAAACGATTAAGCGATTAATTGAAATTATGAATTGAATTTAGAATCGATTCTGGGTTGAGAATCGATTCCTATCCCTAGCACATGAAATATTATCTTTGTTAAGAAATCAAAGATAATATAGTTTATGCTGAGTTTTGATTGTTAAAAAACAAAGTAATATTTAAAAAGAAGAATTTAGCTCTATAGTAAGAATCGCTGAACGAATATTATTATCGTATTATCGTTTGTTGTATAATTTTCCAATATTACATTCATTTATTAACTAAGTTTGGATCTTGAAGTTGTTATTTTTACAGTAAATTTTCAATTTATGTTCCTTTGTGTAAAGTACATAAAAATATTTAGGTTGATATGTTCACCATTGCCTTGTTCTAAAGTTTAATTGATAAATTTTTAAAATTATCTGATAAAAATGTTTGTAGGTTTCCTGCTTATATATTACACATAAAATCAGCCGAATATTTTATATACCGAAAGTAATAGACTTTGTTATATAAGGTAAGTGAGGGGATTATGGCGAAGGAGGGTATTATGACGAAATAGCGGTATCTCGATCTCCAGTGATCGGAATTGCACAAAAATGTCACCATTTGATTCGCCGCAACGAGACGAATCGAATGGTGGTATTTTCGTGCGATTCCGATCACTGGAGATCGAGATACCGCAACCGTTAGTCACCGTACACAAGAAAAATAACGATCCACGTTCGGTGAATTTCGGGGCGGATATCTCGATCCCTAGTGATCGGAATCCCACGAAAATACCACCATTCGATTCGTCTCGTTGCGGCGAATCTAATGGTGTTACAGTTGCTCACTTTTGAAAACGTACACAGAAAAAAAATGGCGAATTCGAATATCTCGCCATTGAATAATCATCCAAAAGCAATTTAATTACATTTATTAAAATGTTAAGTATCATTTACAATTGAGTTTATTGTTCGATATGATTATAATAAAAAAAAATAAAAATTTTCGCGTACGATATAATATGACCGAATCCATTAACGAACATAAGATCTTACAAGCTCAGTATAAACAGCTTTTTTTTTTGTTTTAATCATAATTAACACACTTCCCCCATTCCAATAACAATATTAACCACTTTTTTTTAATTAAATGCCTCGAATTTCACTTACAAAATGCTCCCGCATATACACACTCCACCAAGAAGGATACACAGTGTGAGAAATCGCAGCATCAGAACAAGTAAGCTTAGATTCAGTTTCATGTATATTCAAGAAGAAAGAAGAAACTGGAAACTTTGAAGATAAGCCAAAACCTGACCATCTGCGCACTCTTTCTGATCACTATGAATGATATGCTGTTTGATTGATAACGTCTGGAAAATGCTTCACTACTGTCAAAGTCTAACACAGACTTCAAACTGACATAGAAGTCAATTTATCTGTGAAGAGCATACGGCGTATACTCAAAAGACATGGATTATTCACCAGAATAAAATGCAAAAAACCATTGCTCACAAAGACACACAGAAAATGCTGACTTGTCTGGGCAAATAAATGCTGAAATTGGATAATTGATGATTGGTGGCGAATAATCTGGTCTGACAAAAGCAAGTACCAGATCTTTGGATCAATATTGTTGGAAGAAGCCTGATAAATCTTTAAAAAACCAGCATATTACACCAACAGTAAAGTTTGGTGGTGGTTCAATTATGGTATGGGATTGCATGAGTGCTGATGGAGTTGGTGAACTCTGAAAAATTGACAGCAAGATGGACGTAGATATCTATGTCGATATATTAAATACAAATTTTTTTAGGTTCACTTTTGGAAACTATGCTGGAAAAGGATGAAATTCTTTTCCAGCAAGATAATGATTTGAAATACACTTCCAAAAAAATGAAAGGTTGATTTCACGAAAATGAAATTGCAGTTCTCAATTGGTCATCTCAATCTCCTGACTTGAGCCCTATCGAGAATTTATGAAATGAAGTTGATATTCGTATGCGGAGATTTCCCGGTTCACTTTCCAATAGAGATGAACTGTGGGAAAAATTACAAATTGCATGAATATCGATTTCTGTAAAAGATTATTTGAATCCATGCCAGAACGGGTTAGGGAAGTAATACAAGCAAAAGGGGGAAGTATAAATCGTAATTTTAGTTTAGTAATATATAATATTTTTTTTTTGACAGCTGCTAATATTTTCTTAATGAGAAATTGGTCCTTAAATATTTTCGTCTAATCAGTCATATTATATCATACGCGAAAATATATTAAAATTTTTATTTTTTTATTATAATCATATTGAACAATAAACTCAATTGTAAATGATACTTGACATTTTAATAAATGTAATTAAATTGCTTTTGGTCGTGGATGATTCTTCAATGGCGAGATATTCGAATTTCGCCATTTTTTTTTCTGTGTACGTTTTCAAAAGTGAGCCTCTGTATTTTCGTGGAATTCCAATCACTAGGAGATTGAGATATCGCATATTTTACTTTAGTTCGTCATAATACCCACACAACTAAAATTTTAAAAAATGTCAATTTTGTTCTATATATTATTTGTAATGTCATCATATTTTTTACTAGTTTATGTAGAATTAATTATGCTTTTTAGTCATAATAAATGTTCCAAATATTTGTTGTTTATAAAAGAGTTTTCCTAATTTTGATATTAACTTCGGCATAATACCCTCCTTTATCTTAGAATGTTGACTGTAATTAGATAATGACAAACACACAATTATAATTTATAATTGGATATTAATATTAAATCTGATATTGCTTTTAACCAATTGAATGAATATTTGAATGCTGACAATTCTCGTACAAATTTGACGTAATTGGAAAGCCTTTTTAATACTGATTTTCCAGAATGATTATACTGTACACGCAAAGTTCGACATAACGGTCAATAACTAAAATCTCGATATAACGAATTTTTGATTAAATTAAAATAACTTGTTTTTGCAATAGAATTGATCGGTGCATATTCTCTTAACTCTTTGCGAAACTATGTTAGTAACGATGTCCAAAACTTATATTTATACTTTCGGTATTTGGGTAAGCTTGTGGATAAATTCATATGTCATATCTTTTTAATGTTTATTATTTGGATTGAGTTCGAATGAAAAATAACCTAACATGTAAAGTGTTGGATAAAAAATTTATCCCAACTACATCCCAGCTAGTTTATGGTAATGAATATATTATAAATTTGATCTTTTTTATAGCTGGTCACATATACCGAAAAAGTTGAGCTTGTTATTGTAACGAGGAATAAAGTTGAGGTGGTTTCAAATTGTTTAACTGTAGTTGCAAGAGTCACTGAATATAAACGTAATAAATTTTACTACTGTACATATTATTCATTGAATATCAAAGAAAAAATATGAATAATCTGAATGACTATTCATATTTGTCGAAGCTAACCTTGCTAGAATAAGATTGAAGGTTTGTAAATTTTTGCTTTAAATTCGTAATTTCGTAAATAGGATCTTAAAAATTGTAACAATAATAGTGTAATATTTCTATTCTAGTCCAAATTGCAATTTGTTTATTATTCTATGCATGAACCTCCATAAACCGAAATTTCGATATATTAAGGTGTTAGACGTATACAAATGACTTAAATGAAACGGACTATATTCTTTATGTTAAAGACCTGCCCAGATTGTCCATTTCATTTTAATTTCAATCCAGTTTATCAGGATTTTAAGTGATGATACAAATGAAGTCCATAATAAATTTCACTCGATGAACCAGGCAGGATTTCTTAATTAAACCTCAATGAACCGGATTTAGGAATTTTAGTTATACCAATTTGCATTTATTGGCTTGTTATTGGAGTACAATCTAACATTTTTTCCGAGATATGTCTCAAGATATTTGTCACGTGATAGTTTCTCAAATAATTACATTCGTCTCATGATAACTTTGTCCTGAGACATAGGACAAATGTCTATGGACGTCCATGTACATAGTATTTGTCCAGAAACTTATCAGACATATAAAAACTTCCTGATTATAGTTTAACACATAAAAGTTTGCAAGTAGATCATATAAATAGATGACCTAATTTGAGTAGGTATAAATATTAATATATACACATATATATGTATATATATGTATTAATAAAGAAACTTACTATTACATGTAAACTTAAATCACCATAAACTATTATGAATAAACATCCCTTTTCATTATATAACGATAGGGAGTGTTTACCATTATTCATGATAGGATAGGATTGACGACCCTTCCCTTTACAAATGATTTTCCAAACAAAAAGTTCGGTATAACGATAAAGGATATTATTCATGATCAAGTATTTTACTGTAGGGGTGCTTATTCATGATAATATACAGTAGACGTAAATGGCTTGTCTTTAGAATTTTATTTTGGAATTTTACATGTATTTATGTGTACTTGAATGAATGTGTTATAGAACACAGTTCAGTTACGTTTTTTTAACGTTTTGTTTTAGAATTAATACACATGCTTTATAATTATTCACGTAAATTCATTGTGTTAAGGGTATTTTTCCGGAATAAGCCGATGAATCATTTATTTCATATAAATATGGTAATTCACATAAGTTTAGTAATTCATATAAACATAGCAAGAATATTGTATAAATATTAATTATACTTAAAATGTCATAAAGTCTATAAAAGCGCAATAATTATTTGCACCGTAAAAACTAGAAATAATTATGTATATAAGCATACAAATCGCAAACTTCTAATTACCATATATAAAAGTTTATATGTTAGTGGGATCCAATTATACTCTTTATGACTTACTCACTACTAACATTACCCTTCAATCAATATGACTACTGATCAGAAAAAATATCATTGGCGTAGTTTTACTGCAAATTTTATCAAAAATTGCTAGTACATTTTTGTAATGAGAGGTAAGGGTCCTAAGTTTAATTGCAGACTTCGCCGCCCCTTCCCCTGTAAAAATTTAAACCTTAACTCAATCCAATTTTTTTTTGTAAGCCAATGAGTTTTCCTGCAAATGAATAAACAAGATTTACCATGTAATCTCTTTTAAGTTTCAATTACACAAAGGGGAGTGAGTGTGCTTTATGCGGTGCATACAGCAATTTAGCTTAAAGGTTAATGCATAGCGATAACAATGATAACGTTATCAAAATAGAATAGATTTAGCTAGTTCATCATAAATGTCCCATATGATACCTCGTGATGTATGGCGATTATCACATGTAATTTAATTTAGCAAAATCGAAGATTTTCTTACCAGATTAGAAGTTATTGAAATAAATAATGTTCATCAATTTATTCACACGGCTAAGGGACTTCAATGGCGACAATTTAATATACACATTGTTATAAAGTATAGAATAATGCAAATATATTATCAATTGAAAACTCAGCTGTTTGTTCATTCAGAATGAGAACAATGTCAAGTTGCACTGCTCTTGTGAATTAACACAATTGTGCTAGTATTTCAAATGAAAATCAGCTTTTTTCATACATAATTTGTGGAGCAACACGAATTCCCCAACACACAATAAAATAGTGGATCCTTCCTCATGAAATCAATAATCAATGCTTCGCATTCAATCTTATCTTATTGACTCAATCTTTTGTTAAATATGAATTGCAAAAAGTTAGTCATGCTATACTCAATAAAGAAAAATTGATTGTATTTGTTTAAATTGGTTTTTTCATGAGATTGTTCTAAAAATTTTGCAATAATAACACATGTCGAGTCAATGGATTTTGAATTGCATAATTAAATCAAGAGGAACAATGCGGAGATTTTCATGTATAATTTTATAATTTTCCGAAAAGTTTGTTATTTAACACAATGAGATCTAAATTAGCAGAATTAATTTCTTTGAATTATCAAGACGCACAGATAACAACAGATATGTGATACAATAAACTTAAACTAATAATTAATGATTATTGATAGTATTTTCAAGTTTAAATTTTAACTTGCTTTTATCAATTAAAACACATCTCAGGGAAATATTTATCACTTGCAAAGATTATCTTTTGACGTGTAATTTTATATTCCAACCACATGAAACTCATCTACTGCACATGTAAATCACCAGGTTAGCAGAAAAAACAAGTCTTCATCAGATCAATCGAAGAAAATCTACAGTATTATTTATCTGTCTCAAAGAAAATAATTATTTTTTCGCTGAATCACTCGACGTACATTTTGGTACAAACCTTAGATCAGATGACTTAAAGAAACCTGTTTTTTTTCCTGTGTATTGTCGAATACATGTATATGTAATTTATAACATTCGTCATAAATTCTTCTGTATAACCAAGCACTACACAGATTAACTGACAGAGATGTCAAGCAAAATACATGTACAAGGTAATAGAACTAAATTGAGCTTATTAGAAAAATACTGTGTTTCTGAGAATATATGAATGTACATATACTGTAGATACATGAATATCCCTATATATTGAATGAAGTAAGCTATATTAAAATTGCTAGAATTTGATTGGTGCAAAATTATTAATTATTAATTATTATATAACATGTATTAGATAAAGTAAATTATTTTATATGTATCAAATAAAAATTAGAATGTTAGATTCAAATTATCGATAAATACGAATAAAATCTGCCCTTTTTAAAATGTCTGTCGCAACAAATTATTCTTTGGCTTAAAGTTAAAAAAAGTGCTTTAGCCTAGTCTTTGGAATTCGTAAAAGTGATATTTTCCTAGACGCCAAATAATTATTACCAAAATGGCTACTTTCTCTAATACACCCACATCTCAATTTGACGAAGACAATTCCAAGGCAAATGAGAAAAATAACGATAACCATAAATGGATTTTTATTCAAGAGTCATTCATTTCTACTTCGCCTGAAGAACCGATTCAACATATAATTCCTGAACCCAATCCTTATATTAAGGTTCCATTTCCTCCAGAAATCAATCCATTCGAGCTAATAAGAACCGATGAAAAGGGAGAACTACGCTCTCGTTGCACCAACAAATTTCTCATTTATCGTAACGAATACGCTAAACAACTTGAAACTTACGGTTATAAAATTTCGATGCGAAAAGTTTCTTGTATGGCTGCAAGGGCATGGAAAGAAGAGCCGAATCATGTTATCCGTTATTATGAAGATATTGCGAGAGAGGTCGAAAAACTTCATGTACAATTATCAATGAATTCTGTTCCTTCGGAAACAACATTCAACTCACCATCCGACTCTGGCTCAGAATCGCCAACAATTTCAGTTCATTCAGATAATTTTTTCTCGAGCACAATAACTGATTCATCGGAAATTTCGCATCCAAGTCAATTTGAAGGGATAAATCACGATTCAATGAGCATAAATTCTTTTGAAAACGAAATTCCTGGCATCAATAACTCGATTCAGCATAATGTGCTAACAACTAGCGATAGTTGCCACTTATTACAAAACGAATTTGTTCAGAATTCATTCCACTCTAATTTACCTTTTCCGATTCATTGTTTAAATTTTCCACAAGAAATAATGGAAAGAGAATTTGAACAATTTGAACAATTTTCTCACAATTATTTCGACGAATCAATAATATACAATAATCGTGAAATGGTTGGTTTGCAATGGAATGTGGAATTCTTTTGATTTTTCATTTGCATATAAAATTATCTTTCATAACCCACTATTACGAGATAATCACTACACTATACTATTAAAAATTGTAAAAAATTATTTTATATTTCTCTTCTTTTTTAAATTTCTTATACAGTACACCGTAAAGTACCGAATTTAAGCCACTCCCGAAAATAAGCAACCATTTATTGAACAAAATTTACTTTATTTTTATTTGAAAACTTTCTATGTTTTTCCATTAGGGAGATAAATCGGGTCATATATGCTAAAAAATCAGGGGAAAATTAATCTCTCGGGAATCTTTTTAGGTTTAGATAATTTAATTTAATTTAATTTAATACTAGGGAGTTTCGTAAATCAGGAATTTACGGTAAATTATAATTATTCGAAATACAATATAGCAAGATATATTAGATAGACTTATACTATTGCATTTAGACAATTAATTCTATGATTTCAAGCATTAAACTATGAATTTATATTTCAAATTTATATTACAAAGTTTTAATAAATAATTTATTTTTATTTTTTTCAATGAATGATACGTACTATGTTGAAAGCTGACTGTATATTAAAACTTATGAATAAGCCTGTTAAAAGTTTAAACTATTTTAAAATTCGAAACTATATAAAAATCTTATTAAACACAGAATGGATAATGTCACGGACATGCAAAATTTCGAAAACACTATATATAAAGACAATAAAAGAGAACATTATCTAAGCTGAAATACTTACCATTAAGCTTGCAGCCCGTAGTGTAATATTACGGGGGTTACAACGGTATTACAACAATTCGTAATACCATATTTCGTGGGCTAAAGTACATCCTCGACAACAGTACACTACTTAGAGCGCATAAGATCCGGGTACTATATGTAGAATGATGACAGACGAGGATACTGTGCTATATGGGGTAGATTGGTAATCAGTTGTGGAATAAAACAATAGCAACGCATCGAATAAGTTTACTCTTTGATGCATATTAATCGACTTCTTTAGAGAAAAAAAATCAAAATACAGAATGTTGCAACAATATTGTATTACGGAAGTGTTGTAATATAATGGACCTATTGTAACCTTTATAGATTCCGTTGCAATCTTACAACTAATCATTTTTAGTTAAGGATGGTAAGGTCACCACCAATTTGCGCGCTTCCGTTTTCCTCGGGACGAATTCATATCGTTTCCTTTCAAAAAACTAGGAGTCAATGAATCTTCTAAAGTATTAATCAGCGAATGTTATTTTTCTTAGTTTAAGCTATTTCTTTTGTTGAAAACGATTTTGGAAGATGGTTTAATATACACAGTCCCTTGATTTTGCCCTATCTCAAGACAATTTAGCTTGTGATTTGACATTCTACAGACTTTTTGTTCCACAATCAGCGTTTAATTCATTCTAGTAAAATGATCAAAAAAGGTAAATGAACAAAACGCCTTAGACTGAGAGAATCTACAATAGGTATAATCATAACGTAATCACTTAAAGAAGCGAAAATCATCGTTTAAGTATATGTACCATGTAAAATTATAAAAAAACAATCATTTACAATACATGCACTCGATATAAATTAAGTTTGTAACCATGAAATAAAATTTTTAATGTGTTGGATAATTTAAAATACCGACACGTTATGTTCGTTTAAACCAATTAAATTCGATTAAAAATTATAGTGGATCAAAAACAATTTTTGTCGAATATTTTGAGCAATGTAGAATTATTTTCATTGCTTATCGGAAAAACTAAAACATTAGTCATACGAATCGGTGTAAACTTTTGAATGCAAAAATATTTAAGGGTTTTTCTGACAACGACAAAACCATTAGCTAATAAACTTCTTTGTTTATAAATAGTTTTGTAAGAAAAAAACCAGTCAATAAACATCCAAATTTGGGCAACAAGCGTTGTAATGTACAATTATAGGAAGAATCTTTTTCCTAAAAACGCGAACCTCTTTTGCAGACAATGGCTAATATATGACTGTTAATATAACTGCTAATATACATTTCCTATACTAACTATTAAATGCACAAAATTCACCTGCAATTACATTGATGTTTCAGTTTCAAAGTGTTTGTATTCTCTATTCCCCTTTTACGAGTACCTTTATTGTCTGTATAACTTTTTTGATTTTCTGACTTCAAGGAGTTTAACTTTGAAGCACAAGACTAAAGGCGTCCATTGTATCACAATTAATATCGAGTTTTTGTGTTTATTCTATTTATGTAATGCTGTTTAAAATATTTAAAAGTAGACAGCTTAGTAATTTGTGACTTGTCTCACAAGGAACAGATAATTAAATGCAAAAACAACATAATGACTCCATATTTAGTTTAATAAAAAGTTCTAGAAAAATTTTCAGAACAAATTTTCGGAAATAACTTACAAGGATGTAGAGATAGGGCCGTTGACGGTCCGTTTCGGTCATAGGATCGTCAATCAGTTCGGTCCTATGATTCAATAGGATGCATAAATCTTATTTCCTCGATTTGATTTGTTAACTCGGTACTTTTATTTCAATTAAGTTTTTATTATGAATTTTGAAACTTGTGATAACGATTAGATAGACAAAAATGAAAATATATTAACATCGATACTATAAACAAAGAAATACACTATCTAAACATAATACAAATTCCAAGACCTGTTTTCCTAGCGTTTGTTGTATAATTAAGTCATAAATAGAAAATATACAGCTTTTTTAAATAATATATAATAAAAACCAGGCCGAGGTAACAATATAAACCAGTTCTTTGTCAATATTATAATTTATTAGAACACCGTATTCTTTCGGTTATAAGCAGCACTTTTTTGTACTCAGATTACATCCTTTTTTGAAGGGCATTGCCTATAACCAGGAGTTAAAAATATATTTCCTAATTATGCCAAGATTTTTAAACGAACAGATAAATGCCAAGTTTCTTTAAATATTTCTCTGGCTGTGCAAAATATTATGCCAAGATTCCTTAAACGTAGATATTTTTCTGGCTGTCGTTATGCCAAGATCCTTTAGTAACAGCAACAAAATACATGTACATGTACGAACGTATAACGATGATGGCAATTATCATACACGTTCATGTTAAGAAATTTGTCACCCCCGCCACCAGCGATTATTGCCAAATTAGTAAATCTATGTAGAAATCGATTTGGGATCATCCCAGAGAAATGTTAATCAACGTTAAAAGTTGCTTTTAAGATTAGGACCAGGGTCAATATTGGAATTCGAGATGAGATTATATGTAAAACTGTCCCACTGAAACTTTTTATTAGTTCTCTTAAGTTATATTTATGCATCTGTTTCCCGTATTTTTCGCATTTTCATTCTCTTGTGTCACCGGGTTGATCAAAAATTTATTGGTCCGCTGATCCCAAATTGGGTACAGATTCCAAATCAGTAAATCTTTGACGAAATGTACGCGTATACGTATTCCTTTTTATAAATATAAGTTGTTTTGAAATAGGAGTCTACTAATATCTCATCTGCATGCTAAAACAGCAGTTATTAGTTAATTGCATAATGTTTATCCAAACAACTTCGCCTGTTTGTATACGTAGTATTGTTTATAAGTTTACATTATTTACTATTATGTTTTGTGCTATAAAAGCAATTATTTCAACTTGATTACAAATTGTTTTAAATGCACAGTGATGTTTTAAACTGTTTTAAATGCACAGAATTGCCAAATGCGTTTGAATATTGCTTATATGATAGTGCAGCAGTTTTTTCATTAACCTCGGCATGCAAGAACTTACATAAAAACAATAAATTGATATAATATTTGTTTGCATAATCTGAATATTTTATTTATGATTACATAAGTTGTTTATGAACAACAGCAAATTCGAAATTCGTATTTGTGATTTGAAATATTATCTGATATTAAACACAATACTTGAGAAAAGTTTGACATACACAAACTTTTCAAGCCAAAACTTTAAACACAAAGTGCACATTTAACTTTTACTTGATCCTTATATAATATTATATAATATAATGAAAAGTAGTAATTTGCTTTGTAATTAACTTTTGTATGTCCGTCTACCCCCATACATAAAAGAAAGTGTATAACGACAGAGTATGCACATGGAGTAATAGAACTCTCACTCGGGTCATACCAATTTAATTTTTTGTTTAACCTAACAATCTTTAACGAATAGAATTGTAATATTTTAACACCTTTTATTGTCTAGTTGGTACATTTGAGTTATACGAAGTCAAGTCATAGTGAGATCTATGTATAATGATAATGATAACGAAATCTTTTAGCCATTTACAAAGAAAATATCGTGCTATTTCTTATTTAGTTCAATTCATCGATTGTGATGGTATAAAACCTTGCCATATAGAAATAAATTATCGATCTTACGGAAGGAATTCCAAGAACCGCTCATGAACTTGCCGGAACCAGTTCCAAAATATAATTTGTATTTTCTGAGTCAGTTCCTGAACTTGCGCTAATTCCGAAGCAGTCCTTACTAATTCCCAAGTTATTCCATAATATTTTTTATACAGTTCTCCGCATAATGCTCAACTAATTTCTACATGAAAATCTTACCGTAAACACTTTAGCGATCCTTAATTATTCCGTGCCGATCGTATTGTCAACCAGAATAGGAAATAATTCATTACGGACAATTTTCCATTTTTTTTCACCTTCACCGTCGTTCGTCAATACTCTAACAGATCAGTGTTGATTATCTGGAAGAAGACGATTATCTATAGCAGAGAAACAATCAAGCGATTATTGTTCAATTCTTTCTAGAAGAATCACAATCAAAGAAAATACTAACCTGTAGTAATTGGTATAGTATCCTGAAAAACTGTATAAATAGAAGAAGTGTAAAGAGTCTGTGAAAGACATGCTTTGATCAAATAAACTAATAAAGTTCTTACCTGTAATAATAATATTACTCGTGAATACACTATTATTTTATTATTTCTGGTCAAACTTCAAATCTTGTGAGCAGTTACAAGTAGTGGATGTTCCTCCACTCTAAATAAGCCGTC